CACCTGCTTCATTTTAAGGTGGTAAAACAAATTGTTTGTATTTATTCCTTTCTACACACTTTGCAGATTATTTTTTTGGCACTCCGCGTGTTTAACATGTGCGCGCTCCGGCGGAGTGACAATCATCCCGTTTATGCATTTTTTTTGGGGGGCGGGGTACAGTCTGACTGTCAGCCTTTCCCACAGCGCTTCCCCGCTGATGGGTGAGGAGTCATATGTGAGCAGCGTGAACAGGAGGGGGCTCAGCACAATTGTTTTAAAATTCAGCAGGGAAGTAATCTCATCCAAACGTTTTAACTGATTCTCATTGAACTGACACATTTTGCAAAGTAATCATCAAACATGTCTTCCAACTATTCCATCTCCATTGTTTTATAGTTGGTAACTAAACAGAAAGCTTGTGAACAGTGCCCTGAGACAACGTATGTTGTGAGTTGGCGCCATATAAATAAACTGAATTGAAAGCTCCTTTTTCTATTAGAAGCTACCTGCATCAATATGAAACCACTGAAGGACTTGTTTGACTCTACTTCACAAACGTTTTCACTTATCAATCTGCAGGCCTTAAAGCTGTCATGTCTGTTGTCACCCACAATTTAGTTTTTTTTAGTTGCTTTGACTCTATTAACAAAACTAGGATTCATTTATTTTCATCATCACAAATTCAACAAAGCTAAATCACATCTTACAAATGTGTTAAGCATTTTTCTCATTGGATTGACACGCTTTCTTAACTGTTTTACAAAACAGTTAACAATCATTCCAGTAGTCCAAACTCCATGGTTTTAGCTTTGTGACYAAACCACCTATTGCTGACTATTAGAAGCTCAGTATGAAATCACAGAAGCATGTTTCACACTCCTACTGAGGAGTCAGTGTACAGGCCTTCAAAATCTCAAATTCTGTGATGTTCTTTAACAGCATAGATGATGTGGTCCAAGACAGAATAGACTGGGTGGATATATTTTTATATTCTAATGAATTATAATTTTTGTCTTTATATTTTGTGATTGTATTTATGTTACTGTATGCAATATTTACAGTAAGTCATATTATCTTGGAATCAATAAAATTAGCATCAAAATTCTTCTGATTTCAGATTTAATTCATTGCAAGAAGGGACATTTGCTTTTGTTTCATGATTTTAATGTTTTGGCTGATCAAGCCATTTGCAAACACAATGTATCAATTTTATCGTCAGTGACACTGTTGAGTCTTGTCTGTTCACGATTTTGAAAATGTAGAGTTTGAGTGGACAACTGTGCCAAAAAAAATTAAGAAGAACTGTAATTTCTGCTCTGATACATTTGTGACTGGTTTATAAAACTTTAAAAGGCTTACAATTATTCAACAATAGTCTATGTATTAGACCATCATGAAATAAACACCAGTTTATAGGAGTTGAGTCACTTTTGCCTCTATTTTTTTACAGGTTTCAAGCATTTTGGTAACAGATTTGGATTAAATCAACTCAAGTATTTTCATTTGTTACCAAAATGCTCGAAAACAAATATAT